CTTGCAGTGAAGGGGGAGCCACCGATTGAGAGAGGAAAAAATCAGCAATAGATTATATTTTGTATTCTTTTAAGGTGAAGATTATATCCTTATCTCAGGCTAGACTACACTACATTTGTAGAACTCTGTAGGAAGGGTGTGTCTTGTCTTATCTCCAGCTGGAAGCCGAAGGAAATTTTTATGTGCTGTGGGAGTTTGTTAGGTTATTTGAGGCATCCTGCCCAAGCAAAATAACACTCAGTATAAGTCTCTCTACTGCCTAATGTCGTTAGAATTGCTCACAGATACCAAGATTGTGAAACTCAGGATTTTCTATCCATTAAATTTCTTGCCTTGATATTTTTCGCAGCCTGTTTGTATTTCAGAGCACCTGAGCCAATAGCTGTTAGATATGCTGAGATACTTAAGGCCTCAATTCAGTATCATGTTCGGTGCTGAAGCATTATGCAGGTACTTCTCAGGTTATGACCACAATTGGGACCAGAATTTCCATCACTAAGCAAGAGGGTTGTTAAGTGAGTTGAGGTCTATGACCTTTTTGCCATGGTTGTTAACTGAATCACTGAAGCTGTTAAGTGAAACACATGGTGGTTGCGCTGTTATTAAGGCTTTGCTTGTCAGAAGCTGGCTGAGAAGCCCACAGAGGAAGCTCACATGACCCCACCAGGAGGCTTCAAACGTTGCCCATGTGCCCATATTTTGAACACATGACCACGGGGTTGCTGTAATAGTCTTAAGTGTGAGGACCAATCATGAGTCACTTTTTCCACTGCCTTTGCAACTTCAGACAATCACTGAATGAATGGTTGTAAGTTGAGTGATATCTCTGATATTTCAGACTTTAATTGCAAGAATAACACAAACCTTACAGTGACATCATAGCACATCAGCTGATTTAGAGCATATCCAAATGGCAGGTGGGTGAGGGCAGCAGAGGGCGATTCGCTCAGTTTTGCAAGCTGTCGGTCATACTGTTCGACCACATCCCGACTAGGTGGCGAGTCCATTAGTAGGATAGGCAATTCTGATTAGTAGAATTCCATTTTGACTGGTTTGATTTTGTTTTGCTTCCCAAGGTGACACAGCCAGCGTGAACAGCTTAAGCCTGTCTACCGCACACACAAAGAGGATAGCATTCCTCTTTGATTCAACTCTGACTGCCTTTTTAATGATGGGGAATCTTTCACCGGTAAGTTGACGTGCTCATCTGATTGAACTCAACAGATTAAAACATTCTTGGATTATTTTTATTTTTAAATGGAATCATGGGTAAAAGTCAATTTTAAAGCACTGATTTTCACAAAAGGCATTCAAGAGGCATTTTTTTTTATCTACGTTCTTTTTCGCAGCGCTTTTTAATCTTGAATTATATCTGAAAATTAGTAGCGACGCATTTTGTCTTGCAGAATTTGAAAAGTCATGCGGTCACCATGTTCGAAGTAGGAAAACTATCAGATGAGTCACTGGACAGTTTTCTGGTGGAACTTGAAAAGGTAAAAACAACTGACCCCTGTTTTACACAGCGTAATTCTTGTGGCAGTGATCAGAATGTGACAGGACTACTGTCTTGCATTAAAGGCTTTTTAGTTACAGCATACATGCCATTCTTCAAACTCCAAAGCTTCATACCATGATCTTTGTTTCTTTCCCTGCTGGACAAAAGCAAAACTTTGGGAAAGTTTCTAAGACTATAGAAAGCTGCTTGAGGTGCTGGATCCAGTTTGCAGGCCTGTAGAAACAACATTGCCCCTCTTCTCCCTCCACCCTATCCCACTCACACACACCCATTTACTTTCATGATATAACTCAGCACATGGCTCTTTTTATATCAATCATAAATGAAACCCTTGATAATTGAATTTCTAGGAAAAAATCCGAAGAAGCTTTGCTCATTAAATATAGTGCTTGACTTACAATCATTTATTTAATGACTGTTTAAAGTTACAACAGCACTGAAAAAAGTGACTTATGACTGTTTTTCACACAACTGTTGCAGCATAAATATATTTATATTTATAGCACCTAAAGCTAACCTATAAAAATGTACCACAGGTGGTATCTGTACCACTGGTTGAAAAGCCCTGAACTAAAGTACTGAATTTTGCCTTCCATTTTTCATATGGTACAGGTTACCCAACTACTACCATGTTTCCCTGAAAATAAGACCCACTTGGAAAATAAGCCTGAGCATGATGTTTCAGGACGCTCATAATATAAGCCCCACCCCCAAAATAAGCCCCAGTTTAGATTGTCAGTCAGATAGATGTAGGCATGTATTCAGCCATAGTTTCATTCCATACAGTATTAACCTTGTGAACTCTCAAGCTTCCTCCTTCCGTTATATATTCAAGATGGACAGTATTTAATATTTATTTGTTATGTATATGTAGAGTGTGGGTCTATACATGTGTTGTATATAGTATGTTTAGGTGTGTGTCATGTATGTGTTTCACTTTGAGAGTGGATAACTAAATTTCATTTTTGATGTGTGCCGTTGTGCCCACAGTAAAAAAAATGACAATAAAAGTTATCTTATCTTATCTTAGTACCGTATTTCCCCGAAAATAAGACCTAACCGGAAAATAAGACCTAATGCGTCTTTTGGAGCAAAAATTAATATAAGACCTGATTATTATATTACATTACATTACATTACATTACATTACAGAATCAAGATCACGCGAAGTATTAGTACTGCTTTATAAAATCCTAGTAAAACCACACCTGGAATACTGCAGCCAATTTTGGTCACCATATCAAAAAAAGATGTTGAGAGTTTGGGAAAAATTCAAAGAGGAGCAACTAAGATGATCAAAGGCCTGGAGACTAAAACATACATAGAACGGCTACGGGACTTGGATTTGGCTAGTCTAAAGAAAAGAAGAAATAGGGGAGACATGATAGTATTCCAGTTATTTGAGGGGCTGGAAGAGGGGGTCATTTTGTTGACCAGAGCACCAGAGGGAAGGACGAGAAACAATGGTTGGAAACTGACCAAAGAGAGAAGCAACCAGGAATTAAGGAGAAACTTCTTGACAGTGAGGACAATTAACCAGTGGAACAGCTTGCCTCCAGAAATCTTGGGTGCTCCAACACTGGAGATTTTTAAGAAGAGACTGGACAATCACTTGTCTGAGATGATATAGGTTCTCCTGCTTGAGCAGGGGACTGGACTAGAAGACCTCCAAGGTCCCTTCCAGCTCTATTCTATTTTCGGGGAAATACAGTAGGAATATAATAGCTGTGAATGTAATAGATATTATTTTTTCTTTAGAATGTCAAAGCAGCTGAGTTGGGAATGTTGTGTAATACTTTAATTCAATTTGCTGTGGCAACCGCATTTGCGTAGACAGTCCATATTTGTCTTCTCTTATTTAGGTTCAAAGTACAGGAGAGGGTGAAGCTCAAAGATACTTTGATCACGCACTCACCCTGAGAAACACTATCCTGTTTCTGAGACACAATAAGGACCTCGTGACTCAGGTTTCGCAAGTTGAGCAACCCAGTAATGGTACAGTGAAAAACATCTGTTTTAATAGAAAGCTGCTATTTTATATGCTTGGTGCTTCCTTTCTTGTCGGGCAACTCCATTCCAAATACGTGATATATCATTTGGGAGCAGAGAATTGCTGGTTGTGGTTCTTCTCTTCTAAAGATTAATTTTTGTGTGGCATTAAAATTGCAGGAGGAGTGGAATATATCTAACTAAGGGCAGAAAAGAATTCAAGCACAGTGACGTAGAAACAAAATCAACCAGATATCTACATTTCCATAAAGTTTAGATTAGGGTTTGTCCAAATATTGTCTGAAAGCATTTCTACTGGCAGCAAGATGTTTGTGGAAATACTCCGTGAACTATATTTATTTTTAAGAGTAAATTGCAATCCCCAACTAGGATTTTTCATGGTGCAAAAAAAGAGGCTGAGACCCTAGAAAGAATGCAGAGAAGAGCAACACAGACAATAAGGAGTCTAGAGGCTAAACCAAGGGTCTTCAAACTTAGCAACTTTAAGACTTGTGGACTTCAACTCCCAGAATTCCTCAGCCAGCCACCATTACCCACCTCACACTTGCAATTTTTATCAATGTTGGTGTTCCATATTTTTTGCTGCCAAGTCTAGATTAGGTCTCTCTGTCCTTTTGGGTTAATAAAGTTGCCCACCCTTTTACTTGCCCATCTATCCTTTCGTAGTCTGTACCATTTTAGCTTATTTCTCATTTTTTTGTTGGTATGGTTATTTGCAAATAAGTCCCTGGACTGTAGTCCTCTTAATTTTTTTTTAAACTTTACTTTTTGGGATGTGTTGGATCCAAAAGGCTTCCTGGAATTAAGGAGAATGTTTGAGGCTGGTTTGAGGCTTTGACTTCTTTCTTTTAAAAAAAGTAGGACAATCTTTTAAACAATCAATACGAACATGAACATTGAGGATGCCAAGACAGTTATCTACCAAGCACCACATGAGAGCCCAAAGGCTGGATATTTTTTATGTCTGTTTAATTAATTTCTTTTTAGTAAGGATATTGTTTTATTTGCCCTTTTCTTCTTTTATACATAACGTCCTAGATCTAGCTGATCTAATGAAAAGTCTAGGAAAGGGTACAGTTAAAAACTGTTCGTAGAAATAAGTTGATGCAATTGCCCACTTCCAGTTAGTGTCATTGGTAAATAAAATTTCTTATATTAATTGAAGAAGGGGAAAAACAGTGAATTGTTATTTCAGGCTAAAGGATTACTTAAACAAGGCTTCAGCTGTTGCTGTATCCACAACACTGAGTTAAAAAAACCCTGTTTATGTAGTATTCAGTTGATTACACAGTGGGTTTTACACAGCTCATTTATGCTTCTCGAGAAACATAATGTTTCTTAGGAATTTAATTTTTGAGTTTTGACCGTCTTTATCAGTTTCTTAAATTACAAAGAAGATGATGGACTCTTTGCTTTAAGAAAACCAAGGAACCTGGTCCACTAAATTCTGATGTTCTATTTAAAAAGAAGAGACGTGTGGACTTTCTTTAGTTATTACTGAAGAGACCAACCTACAGACCAGATGCAAACTTCCTCAAAGTTCCTTAAATTTGCCCTGCCAAAAGTATTTCCTTTATACATTTTTGAACTTAAAAGTAGGACAAAATAGGCTTGAACTGTTCCAGACAAAAAAGGGCATAAATCACTGGCCTTTTCCTTGGTGGTGACATGGGTGTTCCTCAAGGACACAGATAGTATTTTTAAAAATATTGTTTTTTCCTTAAAAAGAATATCTGCATCCATAAATCAGAGAACTGAATCATAGGACAATTATTTAAGAATCCCAAACACTGCGTACCCAAGTTGTTGCCATTTACTGAACAGCGAATTATCCATATTTTATTGGGGGAAAAATGTACCAGAGCAATACGAAACAATTTATGATACAGGAATGGAGCCCATTGTTAAAACAGCATATCAGTCTATTCCTATCTGAAAATGAGATTTTCAAAAACAATAATAGTCAACTCTTCAAAATATTGGGAGGTATAAAAATCCCATTTTAATTTCTACTTGTTTCTTGGCAACATTTATTATTCCATGAATGTGTTGTTCAAATGGAAATTCTGTGGTCTTGTTCCCTCTGTGAGGCTATCCCACAATGAGGGTACCTCTCTACTATTAGAGAAAATAAGCCAAACCATACTGTGTTGATAGAAATAACTACTGTTATTACTCCCTTGCAGTTTAGTGCTCAGTCTATGGGTCAGCTTTTTTAAACCATAGCAACTTTTAAGATGTGTGGACTTCAACTCCCAGAATTCCCCACCCAGCCATGCTGGGAATTGAAGTCCAAACATCTTAAAGTTGCTAATGTTAAGATACCCTGCTATAGGAGCTAAAAACTATATGTTGGCATCTTTCTTCATAAACAACTAATTGTTCAAAATGTGTTCAAATTAATGTAGGAGCTATTATGATATCTGTTATTTTGTGTGTGTGTGTGTGTGGGCGGGGTGCTGTGTTTTCCTTAGCACAGATGTTTTCGTTAAGTGTTGCTTTTTATACTTAACCCTGTCTCCCCCTTCTTTTCATAAAGGAAATTGAAAATGTTTTATACAACGAGAAATAATGATAATAAACTTCTCAAGCACTTTTGGGAAAGAAAAAAAAGGGCCTAAGAATTTAGACAGGGAGTCCTCGACTTACAACAGTTCATTCAGTGACCGTTCAAAGTTACAACAGCGTTGAAAAAAGGGACTTACGATCGTTTTTCACACTTACAGCCATTGCAGCATTCCCCGTGGTCACAGGATCAAAATTCAGATGCTTGCCAACAGACTCACATTCAGTTTTAGTGTCCTGGGATCATGTGATCACCTTTTGCAACCTTCTGATAAGCAAGCTCAATGGGGAAGCCAGATTCACTTAACAACTGTCGCTAATTTAACAAGTGCAGTGGTTCACTTAACTGTGGCAGGAATGGTCGTAAAATGGGGCAAATTTCACTTAATAAATGTCTCACTGAGCAACAGAAATTTGGGGGCTCAGTTGTGGTCGTAAGTCGAGGATTACCTGCAGTCTGTTCACCAAGAAATCTCCTTACCCATTTCAAACCTCCCTAGGGGTGTTCTTTAAAAAAAACAACAAGTACTTAAATCCCGAGGAAGAGAGACCATCTAAATCTATATTTTTCCTTCCCCTTTTCCTCTGCCCCTTTCACTTGTATATATGTTCGTTTGCTATCTGTATTCCAAGTGTCTTTGACATTGTTAATGTAGGTTTCCCTCTGGATTTACTACGCTGTGAAAGCTTGCTTGGCTTGGATCCTGCCACCTGCAGTAGAGTTTTGAACAAAAACTACACACTGCTTGTCTCCATGGCACCCCTCACCAATGAAATTCGACCTACCAGCAGCTGCACCCCCCAGGTAAGCAAGATCCTTTAAATAAATACATAATATAGAAAAATGGCAAGGTCAAGTTACAAACACAGCACAGCACAATGCTACCTAAATTTTAAAAAGTGTTTTGTTTCTCAACCTGTTCAGAGTTTCGTGAAACTTACGTAGCGTTGTGTTGTGCTGTACTTGTAGCTTGACCTTGCCAATTTTTTTATTATGTACCTATCCTGCCTTTTTAAAAAAATCCTCCACAACTATTCATAGCCATTTATAAAGGTCTATGATTGTTTCTATTTTTAAAAAACATGCACACTTAAAAAAATCTGATTAGGGTTTCCAAGCAGAAAAAAAATTCACCCAAGAGATACTAAAAGGTCTCTCATAATAAATACACAAGTAGTGTCTAATTTTTTTTTCAAAAAGAGCATATTTTGTGTTTTTTAATAGAAAACAGTTTTAAGAGTCATCCTGAAAATAAAACTGTTAGAATGTAGGACTAATTCTCACGATGGAAGAATGGATGTTAAAGGTGATGCAGTTGTCAAGAGATGGTGAAATTGCCTGTTTTAATCCAAGAGAAGAATCTATCTATCTTTCTATTTGGAAACCACTTCTGGTTTTTTTGCTTTGAATTGGAAAAAAAATATGAAACTTTGATTTTAGGTGTTGATTATTAGAATGGTTTTGTTGTTATAGAAATGGCTTGAAATGTTTAGAAATGTAAAGCATAAGGTTGAGGTTGTAACTTTTTTGTATTCTACTGCACTGAAAAATGTTGGAAGTCACTTCTTTTTGTTTTTTCTCTCTCTACATCTTTCCTTCCTTCCTTCCTTCCTTCCTTCCTTCCCCTTTCTAAGTTTTCTTTTTTGTATTTTTATCTTATAATTAACTTTAAAAAAAAAAAAAAACTAAAATTGTCTGAGGACCATTGCAAATGCTGATGACAGTGGCTTTGTTTCTCTTGCTGAGCAGAATTAGCTTCCCTGTGTGTTTTCATTCTGACTTTTTTATTTTTTCACAGCATATTGGGCCAGCTATTCCAGAAGTTAGCTCTGTATGGTTCAAGCTCTATATTTATCACATAACTGGACAGGGGCCTCCATCCCTGTTATTATCTAAAGGCACAAGACTTCGAAAACTTCCAGATATATTTCAGGTAGGTGTTCCACACTTTTCAGGGACCGAGAGTCTTCTGTAGTGGCATTATTCTAAAGTTGGGCCTCACCTTCAGAACCAACTCATCAATAGTTGCATGTGGAGCGAAACTGTGAAAGTTTGAAACAACTCTGAGCTTGGTTGTTTTCTTGCAGATGTTTCATTCTCCAAACTAGATAAAGTCATCAGTGCAGCCCTGAGCTACAAATATTCTCCTTTATGGTAGCTGTGAAAGTGTTTCCAAATTAAACCCTTTTGAGCTGAAAATGGGCTCTTCTTAATTCTTACTTACTCCCTTACTCCTTACCAAAATGACCTGTTCGGAATTCAAAATATTTGGCACCCCTTTGAGAAGTTATTGATGCTTGAAATCTAGGGGGTTTCTAATTCATGGTAGAAGGCAGATGATTCCAGGGATAAATCAATATAATTAAGCCGTTATCATTTGGCAAAAGAAGAATCTAGAAAACATTGCATTTAGAGAACTTTGAAATGGGCTGAATCGGACTCTTTAGTGGGTTTATTAGGTAATATATAACATTTTAGATTTATTTGTATTGCTTTTTAATTAGTAAAAAGAAAAAGGCAAAACACAAAGCTAATAGTGATAATGATACATTCATTGTCAAAGAGTAGAAAAAAACATTAAAATATTATATAATAAAATGAAATAACATGTCAAGAAACATAAATGTCATAAGCTCCTAGGTGGAAAGGGCAATCAGGTTATCATTGAATGAAGGGGAGGCATACATTTATTTTTCCAGTGCTGCAGTTTCAGTTTTTTGACCATGGAAAATCCATTTACACTGTCCAGTTATCAAATTCCATGTATTAGGTATGCAGTTCAAGAAAATATTATCCTCTGAGAACTGTAGCTTCTGTCACACAGTCAACTACTTTATTCCAAAACTTGTTAAATAGAGGACATTGTAAAAATACGTGTTTTAAAGAAGCATGATCCTTAAAATATCTCCAATAAAGTGCTGTTTTTGACAGTCCTTTTACATCCATATGTAATTGAGTCCAATACATTCTAAATATTATTATTTTTCTTGCATAAGCCATAATTTGAGATCCATTGACACACTTGTAACAAAAGCTAAGACACTCTCCTGTTGTCTGGACTATATACCTCTAATTTTTTATATCACTCAATTCTTAACATCTGCATAACAAATTGATTTAATGATAACAAAGTAACTACAAAAACAAAGGTGCTTACTATATTATTATATTAAGCCTTTC